ACGTACTGCTAGGAGCCACTGTTGATTTGTAAGGCACACAAATTCTTTCATGTCTGTCACCACCAGGCCTCTTCCTGTCCCACCTAACAATCTAGTATGCCTCCCTCAGCCTCGTCCTGACCATCCACACTGATCTTCTACTCCTTGAATATGCCAGGTTCGTCCTTATCATGGGATATCTGTCCTAACTGCTCTTTCTGCCTTGAAAACACCTCGTTGGCTAATTCTTGTGTTGCATTCAAGACATTACTCAAAGCCTGCCATCTCTACGAAGCCCACCCTCCACCTAGTACTTCCGTTCCTCCTTTCCCTGCTCTGCTTCATTTCCACAGCACTTGGGTGTCTTCTGCCCTGGGAAAAATTTACTTTTTATTCTGTTTATTGTTTGCTGCTGTCCCCTCTCTCTAAAATGTAAGCAGTCAGGCCAAGAATCTGCTTACTAAAGTAATCCCAAGCTCAAGAGGACAAGCAGAAAGAAGGAACAAACAGCAATTTGTTGAATTAATGTACTGCTATAATGGGAGTCAAAGACAATGAAACTGAAGGCCACAAGCCACGCTTCCACCACTTGTCACCCTATTGCCCATGCCTTCCGATATCTTTAACTCAGTGACAATCTCACAGTCCACCCAGATGCTCCAGCGACAAATCCTGGAAGCCAGACGAGACGTCCCATTTCCCAATTCCCCACAGTCAATGCAGCAGCAGACACTGCCAAATTGAACACCAGCATATCCAGAACACAATCATTTCTACCCCATTTGCCCCAGGTCACCGATTTTTTTCATCTCTAAGCTAGACCATGAAGCTTTTTTGCTTTGAGCTAATGAGTGCTATTTCAGACAGATATGACAGAGTATGAAGGGTAGGAAAAAGCAATGTTAGGAATAGAATATTTGAAGGTTATAATTCTACCTTGACTTTAACCTCTCCTATTCTGGTAGCACTGTGGGTTAGGCAATGATCTCTTAATAAAGTGGTGGGCAATTCAAACCCACTGGCTGCTGTGTAGGAGAGAGATGAAGATGTCTACTCCCGTAAAGCTATACTATCTTGGAAACCCTCTGCAGGGTCACTCTGAGCTGTTATGGATTCAAAAGCAGAGGGTTTGGTTTTTACTCAGGTACACATGTCTATACTTCAAGGATCAACTCAAATACGATTTCCACTTTCACAGCCCTTGGGAGTTCCTTCAGGCAAAGTGTATGCTTCCCTCCGCCCTCGCTTTGTAAACAACGTCATTAGAACATTATTACAGCAATTTTTCCCCCACATACCAGTTGCTGTACTGAGCAGGAGTCTGGCCTTACTCTTGCACAGAGCCTAGCACCAAAAATAGTTGTTGAACAGATGAATGAACAACAACTTCTGGTCTAGAACTGGCAGTAAGGAAGAAGATAATCTAAATTTAAATAAAGGTAAAGTGCTTGCCATACACAAAGTCCACGTAATCTATTACATAATTACTGAAAACCAGTAGAAAGATACACTACACTGAAGACCTAAGGTGGGAAAGATAAAGGACAAACAAATGTGGCACTTCCACGGAGGTTAAGGGTAACAGATAAGAGATCCTTGAAAAAATATCTCATAGGGAATACACCATTTAGAGTTTCAGAGGGAAATGTGGAAGGGGAAGGATGTGACCCCAAACTTTAATGCATCATAACTTGTTTTCTAAACTTACTAAATTCACTGCCATCCAGTCACTTGGGACTCATAGTGACCAGGACTATAAAAAGGCAGGCACTTTTACTTAGGCTAGTTTGTGGACCACCAAAGTAGTGGTGGTCACAGTCAATGCCTTAAAGCTGTCTTGGGTCACAGGCCTCTCTGAGACTCCAGTGAAAGCTTTAGCCCTGTCTTATATAAAAACCATCTACAGAAATGTAATACTTTAAACATCGTAGCAGCCACAGACCCAATCCTGTCAATGATTTCTGGAAACCCAACAAATCCACGTGTGGAACTGAGTGAGACCTTAATGGCCCGAAACAGCAATACACTGAAGTTTCTCAAAAAGTGAATCTCTTGATAACAACCCTAGAGTTTTTTCCTTGGTCATCCAGTCAGTCACAAAATGCTAGACATAAAAATCTCATCAGCTGAATTTACTAAGTGATACACACTTCCATTTAGCTAAAACTAAATGCCTTAAAATAAACGTGAAATGTTAAAGAGATTTAAAATAAGATCTAATATTAATAGTAATAAACAGCTAACAATTGCTGAGCATTTACATTATACCAAGGATCTTTCTAAATGGTTTTAAGTTTATTCATATTTATGTAGAAGTATAAATAAATCTATCCCCACTTTACAAATGAGGAAGCCAAGACCCAGAAAGGCACATGAAAGTCAGGAAACAATGACACGAAACAGAACTGATTAATGTAATTAAAAAGCAAACAGGTCCATTATACTAGACATCACCCACAAGTAACTTAAACCTGCACTTGTATTATCACAGTTCTACAAAGCAAGAACATATTGTCCAAGCTCTGGAACAAGGATGACAGTTTTGATCCTTACCCACATCCTTGCCAGGCTAATACTTCTAACACCAGTCAGTCTGGTACAATCTAACAGAAGCGAGAAGACAAAATGTTCAACCAGGGTGCAACAATAGTGAGAGAATTTAAAAGATAAAAAACGGAAAATTTTGAGGATAATAAACCTTAACTTTCTAATGTTCCATTTTACCGTTGTTTAATTAAAAGTACACTAATAAGTGGATAAAGCAGCCAGTTATTGGTAAGAAAAAAATTTTTTAATAGACTATTTTTTTTATTTTTACAAAGAAAATTCAAGTTTCACTACCTCAAACTTTCAAGGCCCTGACTTGTATCACTGTGGTGCTAGGCTTTCTTCAACGTACTGCAGGGCGACTGTAAGAGTAGAGAAAACCTCATAGACTTCACAGGCCTTATTTAAAAACACATGAGCGCCACTGCTGTCATGTCAATTCCAACTTACAGTGATCCTGCAGGTTAAAATACAACTCTCCTGTGGGGTTTCCAAGGCTATGATCTTTATGGGAGCAGACTGCCACCTCTTTCTCCTGAGGAGCAGCTGATGGGCTCGAACCAACATCTTTGTTAGCAGCAAAGCCCTGAAACTCTATGCCAAGAGAGATCCTTGTGGGTCTTATTAAATCCCAACAAATTTCAACATCCTTGGGTGTGCCAAGGCCATGCCTTATACAATATACACACAATAAATATTTGTTGAATAAATTAATCTTTCCCACATAGAATGTATGTGTTGAAGATACTGTTAACTTTTATATTCCTTATAGAAAAGTCCTGCTCCAGGGGGAAAAACAGAACAGAATTTCAAATTGTCATGGAAGTCAAGACTTGATGGAGCCCTGGGAGCTGGGTGAACCCCTGAAAACCATTGCCTCAAAAAAAATCTTCAAACCATAAACCAAAAATATCCCCTGTAATCTTCTTAAAACCAAACAATAGTTTAGCTTAACTCGTAAAAAAACAATGCCTTCCTTGCACATTGCATTCGTTGAAGAACTATCTATACTAGAAGAAAAAGAGCCCTAGTACTTCACTGGATTACAAGTTGGGCTGCTAACTGCCAAGGTTGGCAGTTCAAATCCACCAGCTGTTCTGCAGGAAAGAAAATGGGATTTTGGTTCTTAGTAAGATTTTAACCTCAGAAACCAACCAGAGCAGTTCTACAGGGTGGCTATGAGTCAATTCTGACTCAATGGCAATAAATTAGGTTTTTAGTATAGTGGATCAAACTGGCAACAGTATCTTGAAAGAGTAGACAGAAAACTCAAGAGTCAAGGGAATACATTCTTGAGGGAGGAACAATTTAGAAAAGGAGTGAGACTAGTTACACGGGTTGGAGAATTTAATCATTTTATATTGAATTGTACATTTCTGCTCTGTACAGCCTAAACAAAAAATAAAATAACTTTTGAAAGTATATTCCCTACCTCCCATAATACCACACTACAAATTACTACAGCAAAAATAATGCAAGATAGCAAATCTTAAACACGTCAGGGAATTTTTTTACTTACCATTTTGTACAGATTTTATATACAAAAAGGAAAAACTAATTTAAAAAAATCAGTTTATGTTGCTACTAGTAACCCTTTTACACAACAAAATTTTTATCTGAAGACATTTCTTTTTTCTCAACAATGGCATTCTTAATATGCTGTAATTGGTTACAGCTCTCTTTGAAAGATTTGATGAGATACAACAAAATCGTAGATATTTTTCTTTATATAACCAAGAATCAGATGTTTGAAAATAAGCCTATTAAATTAAGGACCTAGGCTGGTGTTTTAATAATAGTAATACCAAATAAATAAATAATAGTAACACTCTAAGCTTAGTGAAAGATATAAATAGAGAATAAAAGGAAACATATACTTGTGAACATATGCTGTGAAAAATCTCACTGTATTTAATTCAAACTAAAACTCTTGCTCCCAATTTTACTGAACTGTTAAAATACCACTGTAAACATACACAGCCTAAAACATACACTTCACACAAAGCTTCTGGAAGTTGATACCAGGTGAAAGCAGTTGATCTTCATGAATTTTTAAAAGTTTGCTTAGTATTGAAAGTATGTAAGCATAAAATGCTAGACTAAAACCTACCCTAATATTAAGCAGTATTTAAAAAACATGACTTTTAGTTACTACATATCAAAGCACAGGAAGACAGGGAAGGAGGGCCTTATCTTGGCAAAACTCAGACACTGTTTCTCCAACATCTTAGAAGACAGCTTGATGCAACACACTATCCCATCTGCTTTGCTCAATTTCTTCATGGCCCAAATGGAAATGAAACCCTTCCCGAGTCATGGCCCAAATTTCATCAATCACAAGGCAGTTACAGAGCAGAGATAGCACGGGAGGAATAACAGACATAGACAGAACTTAAGTCGAACGGCCTTAGAAACAGAAACAGGTGAGCATGTTAAGTATTACTCAAGATTAAAATAATCCCATTCCCACTTACCTGATGAGCTCTCTGTGAATACTGTTAAAGTCTGTCCTCCAACACTTTGCAAGACAAATGGGTGTTCTCTCGGGGCGCTGACTGAAGCTGGTTTTCCGCCAATATCATGAATATTTGCAAGATCCTCATTCAAGGTAAATGATACCTAAAGACACATTAGCCAGTGTTTATTACAGTAGATTGTTGTCTTCAAAATATCTGTATGGAAATTTTGATTATAAATAAAAAAATTTGGAAAGAGTATTTGCTGAGTGAAAGCTACTATATGTTAAGGGGTGGAGGAAATTAGATCTTTAAGTAGTTCAAAAAATTCCCATAGATAGACAATATATATAGACAGAAGATATATTTCTTTTTTAAGTTTTAATGACTACTGTATGTGATGTTTTATTTCCAAATATTTTAGAAAACCCAACCAAAGGTTTACAGGGATAATTCAATATTAATGTTTAAAACATAAAGACACAAAAGGCATTTTTTCAAAATAACTTTTTAACTAATCAGTTTATTTATTTTTATTAAATACTTTTATTGGAGGCTCTTACATCTCTTATCACAATCCATACATTCATCCAGTGTGCCAAGCACACTTGTGCATATGCTACCATCATTTTCAAAGCACTCTCTTCCCACTTGAGCCCAATATCAGCTCCCCATTTCTTCTCCCTCCCTCCCCCACCCACTCTCCCTCATGAAGTCTTGATAAGGTATATATTATTATTTTCATATCTTACATTGTCCTCCATCGCCCCGCGCCCACTTTTCCGTTGTTCATCCCCCTGGGAGGGGGTTATAGGTTGATCCTTGTGATCAGAGTCCCCTTTTTCCCCCTAGCACCCTCCCCTAATCCTCCTGGTATCTGTACTTTCATTGTTGGCCCTGAGGGTGCTATCTATCCTGAATTCCCTATGTTGCGGGCTCTTATCTGTAGCAGTGTGCATGTTCTGGTCTAACCCAATTTGTAAGGCAAAATTGAGGTCATGATAGCGGGGTGAAGGAAGCACCAAAGAGCTAGAGGAAAAAATATGTGTTTCATCGGTGCTATACTGCACCCTGACTGGCTCATCTCTTCCTTGTGACCCCTCTGTGAGGGGATGTCCAATTGTCTACAGATAGGCATTGGGTCTCCACTCCATGCCCCCACCCCCAATTCACGTTGGGTATGATTTTGTTCTGGGTCTTGGATGCCTGATACCTGATCCCATCGACACTTCGTGATCACACAGGCTGGTGTGCTTCTTCCATGTGGGCTTTGTTGCTTCTGAGCTAGATGGCTGCTTGTTTACCTTCAAGTCTTTAAGACCCCAGATGCTATATCTTTTGATAGCCAAGCACCATCAGCTTTCTTCACATTTGCTTATGCACCCATTTTTGTCTTCAGCGATCATGTTAGGAAGGTGAGCATCACAGAATGCTGGATTAGTTTATTTATTTTTCACAGTTTCACCAGCATACAATTCACATATTATATACTTTGCTAGTTAAAAAGAGTTGTGCAACCATTGCCACTATCAATTCTAGGCTATTTCTTCTTCCTTGTGCTCAGGTGGTTAGCCCCCACCTCCTGCCCACCTCCCATGCTATGTCCCTTTGAAACTTTCAAGCCAGTTGTTTCTATAGGTTTACCTATCCTGGGTTTCATATATAGAAAAACATACAAAACAAAGCTCAAATGGCCCAACAACAGTGACAGAATGAAACAGAAAAGTCTCAATAAAAAGGAGAAAACATGAAAAATTGGGACAAATTTAAAATGGGTCAAAAGGGAGATCACATGATAAAGGATTACATTTTAATCTAACTACATCTGCCATATCAAATTTACAATGCTCTCTGATAGCAAATATATTTGCATCCATGGACCATGGTCAGAAGGGATCCACTGGAGGCTTACCGTGTATACTTGTGTATAAGTCAAGTTTTTCAGCACATTTTTTGTGCAGTTTTTGTGGTAAAATTAGGTGCCTCGGCTGATATTTGGGTCGGCTTATACTCGAGTGTACATGGTAATCCACATGGGGACTCTGTGAATAGATTTTGGGCTTCCACTGTCATCCATGTCCTTTTGCCCACTGGATGTTCACAACTTAGGCTCTAATAACCATTCCCTCCTCTGGGTTTGGCTTTTATTATTTACAATTCTTGGATCACATAGGATGGGGTGCTTCTTCTGTGTGGACTTGGCTGACACCTCACTTAGATGGTAGTGTGTTTTATGACAAGCCTTTAAGATTTCAGACGCTATTCATTCTGATAGCTGGGCATCATTGGATTTCTTCACCACACTTTACTACAGACCCCAAATTTTTATTAATCACTTCATGGGAGCAAGAACTGGGCAGGGCCATGTCATAAGAACTAATTGTTCTTCGATTATGGCTACAATTAAGTGTAGGCTCAAAATCCATCTTTCATTTATGTATGCCTCTCATTCACTTTCAAGACATCATTATTATTTTGTTGAAAGACACTATAAAGTATTCCCATGGGGCTTATGGTAGTTCTACTAATATTACCATTAATAAAAATTATTTAGTTCTATTAATAGTACCATTAACCACCCCAAAAGAACATTGGGTAAACATAAAATTAATAATCTCCTAACCTTGCAAGAAAGTCATGAGATTTTTATTAAATATCTCTCTACTATGTATCATCAATTATGCCCATGGCTTAACAAAACACTCTCCTTGAAAATCCAAGTCAAAGAAATGCCTTTCCTACACTGAAGTAATACCAGGCTTCAGAGTACCAAGAGAAGAGTTATTTCAGTCAAAGGGGAAAAAAAATCACGAGTAAACAGCTAAAGAAGTCTTTCATTCACATAAGGGTGGCATTTATGCCTTAATGTGCTCCTGACCATCAGTCATTAGTTTGATGTGGTGTTAATAAAAGGTTAAGTGGGTGAAGGGAGACGTC